ATGCGGGGTTAGCTTATGCTTGCTTATCTTGGGGTTATATAGGGTTGTTAATGTCATTTCTAATGTTATTACTATTTTCTTCTTATTATTGTAGGGCTCTAGTCTTTTATTGGCGCTCTAAGTTGATATGAACCTTTGGGCTTTGGATGTAAGATCTTTGCACTTCTTGCTTACGTGACATGCCAAAAACAGGGGGCCATCAGTGCGTTGCATACATCCGCAAGGCTTTGGGGTGAAGGTTCTGCATCTAGGAGCCACAATGTCTATAGGATTTAAGATAAGGGGCTTGGGGCTACATTGCTTATGTTTGCTTAGTGTTTAGGGCTGGCATTCGGAGGTTTCAGACTTGATCCGCATCACAAGCATCACCGTTCAATGGCTGTGTATTTGCACCGATCTCGTACCAACATCTCGGTACAAGCCTCTGGCATGTGTACAAGCTGCGAGTACATCATAATCATAACAGCCAAGCGCCAGCAAACAGAGCTCCTAATTTCTTATTGCTAGCTGTACCTGAGCCTAGTCCCCTCCCGAACATTTAAAACTTCCACGCCGCCAATGTCAAACATTCCCATTGTCCTCTACTGTTATTCTGATATCTGTTTGGAATATTTGTGGATTAGCAGAGGAAACCTTGACCCAGCCTGCTTCTGCCCGGAGAGGTACTGCGCTTGACACAGCGTGCAAAGAGCGGAGATCATCAAATCGGACCTGACCAAAGCTTCTTTACCGAGATCATAATCTACACCATGCTAGCATTCATATTTTGCTCTGGGGTTGAAAGCTTAGAGCACTAGAAGAATTTCTGGGGTACATATACCATGACAAAATACAGAATTTCTGCCAATCCCAGAGAATCACGTTACTCTTGCTCTTACTGCAGGCTTCTATTCTACAGGACTGGGGGCTAAGGAAGGACTTTGGGTGTACCACGCAGCTCCATTGAGGTTGCAGCCTGGGCACACAGGCCGCAAGATGCTGAAATTCCTGTAACGTAGAAGTCTGAATAATCACCAATCTGCTTTTGAGGATTTCGAAGTACCTTATTATACAAAGAGCCTATCATCATAATACTTGGAACTTTCTACACCACATTACATTACCTCCCCCCATTGATTAAGGTGAACACTGGCTCTCATGAGGCATTGCCTTCACAAGTATACGCTTCTTCAAGGCAAGGTTACCGAACTGGTGCCTACCTTTTTGCGGCCTCGGGCTTACAAAGCAGACGAGTAATCCTAATCATATCGCGCAACGGGGAAAGAACTTGGTACGGTGTGACTCACATCCACGGTTACAAGCATTGAAATTTTGGGGGTTGCTTGACCAGACCTATGCGTGAGCAAGGAGCCTGCCTTGTCCCAGCCTGAAAGTTGCAAAACACCGGACGCCCCTAAGTAAATATCTGGTAGTTTCCCTTTTTTTGCATCTGGCTTGCAACGACCCTGCCAGGCAAACAACTAACCCCGTCACCTCTGGTAGTTTCCCTAAATAGGGGGACCCCAATAGAGGACCCCCAAATATTATCAGCCTTATTATTGGGACCCCCAAAAATGGTTCCAAAATTTTACCCCTAATCTTGGAAGACCCTCATCTACCTCCCAAAATTTGAAAAATCACCAACTCCCAAGCCCCATACACCTGAACCTGCATTCTCCTGGGTTGCTGCTAAGGAACTTAAATTAAGTTACCGTAATGGGTATATATAGTAAATGATAGGGTTTAGGGTTACCATAATCGGTATTCATAGTAGATAATAGGGTTTCCCCAATATAGTAACTTGATTTAAAGTTCCTTACTTGAGGGGCGAGCCGAGGCCAACGAAAGCTAGCCAGGCTTTATGTACGATGGAGTAAGGTATAGAAAGGTAGACGAGGCGGGGGTACATGCCAGCAAAAAGCACAAACCTCATTCAGGGCCTGGAAAACCCATCGCGGAA